TGATCTTCAGAAATCATTCTAATATGCTGATTTATTATTAGAATTATCAACAGTTGTGCAGCCAAATATTTTTAAGTTACGCCTTCTTTCTTTGCGTGAATATTTGGGCGGCGTTATGCAAATCTTGCCACATAGTGAGGTAGATATGTGGGGGCGTGTTCGAACTAGCCGTTTTAGGGGGATGTGGCTGATTCTTAACTTTTATAAAGAATATCTCTTTGGATTTGAGACTTTAGTCTTTGCAACTTTACAGATCTTCTTTATGCACCAAGAGCTTGTAACACTCCAAAGAGAAAGGAAAAAATGAAATTGCATTATATGACCCCTTTAAAAAAATCTTACCAAACCTTTGAACAGTATATTGTATTTAAAATTATGACTGTATAAATAAGCCTGTAAGCCTCCTCCTGCTGCACAGAAAAAAATATGTAATAGTGATATTGTAAAAAATATTTTAATATCCCAAAATGTGGCTTGATATCATGGGTGGCTTGATACAATGTGACGTTATTTCTTATTTAAACTTTTTGTCATTGTTATTCTGGTGGAAACCAATTTCCACACAACTATAGTAGTGTGATCCAAAACAAACAAACAAATCAGCCAGGCAAAATGTCATAGGTTAAATGCCCTCATGCTATAGGATATAGGCTGCTTTACACATGCATGAGAATCTTGTATTGTGAGCTAAACTTGTCGCTGAGCTGTGAAAGTCTGACTTTGAATCTCGAAGCTCTATTAAACGCATCTACTGTTATTATCTAAGTGAGGATCAGTAATATGGCTCTAAATTTGGCTTCTTCAATTAGTTCCTGTACATTTGACTAAATCAGGATGTTCTTGTTGGCCTAACAGCCATTAGAGTCATATAAAGAGAAGAAATAATTTCTCTGTAAGACGCTTCCTAAGGTAGTGCTAACAAGTGAGAATAAAATTGGGATGCATGAGGCCAGATCTTTGGGTTCTCATCCCAGCGTGTCTTTCAAATGCAACATATGTCTAGATAATTTTATTAGGAGTTTTTAATGCATTTTTCAGAGGTTATGCAGTTACATTGTCCAGTGTTTTAATGCTTATTTTGTCAGGTTAAACCAGCCATAACAGTGAGGGATTCACTGCTTGCAATGTGAAGATAAAATGGCTTCAGTGAGATCTTGGCCATATATTGAAATAAAGAGTAAAAACGGCACACAAAATACAATAAATGTTGCATTTAACCTTTGATAATGTTCTTTTTTTTTCTTATGAGTGTAAAGATTTTTTTGTTCTTATTTTTAATTGCCATGAAATTCCTAACCAGTTAACATATAACACCGTATTGAAGACACAAAGCACAATACATTCATTGAGGAAGGCATTAGATGGTTTTAAATCTTGCTGCAGTGGATTTTTATGCTTTGAGGATCTTACAGATTATCTGGCAGAACTGAAGCCGTAGCATAATTCTTCATTGTCTCTACTGATACTTTCTTTAGCTCTTAGAAGTGGGGAGGAGCGGCAAACAAATAGGAAGATCGAGTTAATGGACAGAACAAAGGCTTGTGATGCTCTGATGAAATATGGATGAGGGCCTGTCAGAAAAAACATGAAAACATATCATGTGAAGAGTCCTTGGGTCTAACAGAAAGTCTTTCATACACAAGACAAAGACTGATTGCTAATGAACTCACTTTTCCACACTTTGTTCCCCATTTAGATTCACAATGCACCACGTTTTCAGAATGTCAAGTCAAGTCTTACCGTTTGATGCTCAGGATTTTTACTACCAGTAAAGTATTTGGTTTGTCTTGTATTCATACTAATAGCATTTAGTCTGCCCATTCAAGGCATTTTTTTCAGTTGTACTTAAAGTTTATAGCGGTGCTGTGATATTTTCTACAAAACCTCCGTCAGTGTAGTGAATATGATAGGGTTATATGAGGTTTTGGCGTGAATCTAAAATCCCACTCAGTTTCCTGGCATTCTGTGATAGTCTTCCTGTTCCCAAAACTGGGTCTGAACATGTTCTAGTGACTAAGCAACCAGAGGCCAAATAGTGAGGATGCATATAGTGCCTTGGAATAGAATATGCAGTGGATCTGTGGCATGTTAATAACCCAGTTTACTTGATGCAGATGACTAATTAAAATTTGTAGCTGAAAATTTTTTTTTTTTCAGCACCATCTGTGTGATTTTTTGTTTTTTTGCAATTTTACACTTTTTTTTTTTTTTAAATATCTTGCTATATCATTAGAAGAAGAATTTATTGTTATTTGTATTTGAATGACCGATTAGATTTTTTTCTCTCTTAAACTATTTCATAGAAATGTGCATAATCATTATCTCACTGGTTAGTTCTAGGAGTCAAAACTCGCCAAACTCACAATAAACCAGTATTGACAAAACCCCAGAACAACATGTGAGCAGCTCACAGCATGAGCAGGATTTAATATATTGAATAAATTAGGCTTTTCCTTATAAACCATTTTTCCTTTGAATTATGTTGTCAGATTGAAACGCTATAAGACAAAATTTAACTCTGTGCTCGGTTGCTGCCGGGGTTCCTCTAAAATGTGTCTCAGTCTTTATGCCACCAAACAGTCTTTGACTGGTTTTAATTTGTGCGTCCTTATGGCACACATTCTGCTGTTATCTCTAACGGTGGCAGAGTCTGCTTTTTCCTTGATGAAGCCCTTCAGGAAAAAGAGCATACTCTCCAACAATTACACTACTTGTTTAAAAAGGTAAATTAGCAACATGGGTATCAGCATCAATCAACTATACATATGTTTGAGCAAAGATAAAATGATGTTAGGTAAAATTGAGTCTGGTTCAAGTGAATAAACTTGCATGCAGGAATCCTTCCCTCAGTATTGACAGGGTCATCTACTCTTTAACTCACTTTTGATAAGAAAGTAAAGTAAACCCTGAAGGAGACATGTCTCAGCAAACAGTCCTTTACCACTGGAGTGTGGGTCCTTTTACAGTAATGAGTCTTGAAAGCTTTCTCCATTTGCCAGTTATTTTCCCCCTGTGCTTACCCATGAGTAGAGCTTGATGTTTTCCTCTGGCCAAATGACAGTGGGGTTTGGAACATCATGTGCTTTTTGTGCTTAAAGCTAAATTGTGGCCCTCTAAATCTATCGCTGTGACAGTTCAACCCCAATCTGAGTTTACTTCACCCTTTGAGACTAGTTTTGTCTACCTCCATGTAATTACCATACCCAAGACTCCCCTAAGAACTGGAGTCAAGAGTACTTAAAAGTACACTTCGGGTCAGATTAGTCCACAAGTGTCATTTCTTCAAAAACAAGCCCACTGTTTGTTGCTGAGGAGTGTGTCTCTTTTATTTATTTATTTAGAGAAAATTAGTTTATAGCACCTGACTATTACAACACTGACAGACAAGAATGGATACAGACAAATTTGCATATTTATTGCATGCTGGTGTTATAGGAAACTGCGAAATTATGGATAGAATTGTTGCTGAAGAGGTTGACAAGAAATATGTTTCTATTTGCACACTCTCCAGGTGCTGAAGCAGCAGCATTCTCAGTAAATCTTGAGATCCATCTGTCCCTTTCGATCTCTCTGTCTCATTTCATATTTACTCTCTTGAGGGGAGAAATAGGAGGACCAGGCTAATAAGATTTTCTCAGGCAATCTTCAAACACAAGGTGACAGATCATATTTTTGAACCACATTCATCTGTAGTCAGTCAGGTCTGTTTCATCCAGGTGCATGTGTCAATTTTTTTGAGAGTCTAAGAAAAGCAGACAGAAAATTTTTCACTTCTTCAAGAGGAAATGAGTGGCTTTCAATCCATATTATTTCAGTTCCACTCTCTGTCCTTCATTTCCACACTTTGCCTCTTTCCTTTGTGTTGAGGATGAAGTTCAATTACCCTCTTGTCAAACAACATCATTTTCAGGTAAATTGAGCGGTGAATTGATTTGGCCCACTCTCTGAAAGCTGTGCCGCCAAACCCAAGTAATTGATGGGTTTGTGATTTGTGGCTCCAGAGTAATTATTTATTGGCCTGTCCATGAGATGGGCACTGCCATTCGCTTCTCACTCAGTCCCTGCTCCAGTGCTCATCTTTCTTTGGTAATTTTTTTTAATACTTTTTCTTCACAATTAATAGATTTTCTAGTCTGTCCCAGGATTGTAAACTTACAGTAAATAGACAAACCATAAGATATAAAAACGTACTGTATAAGGCTAATAAGGTACTGATCTTTCACTTTGATTTATTACAGCCGTCTTATTCTCTTATAATACTCTGATTGCAGAATAATCTGATTGTTAAGAATAATAAACACATATTTAAATAATAATTTATTTCCTCCCCATTCATCTTTTCAGAGCCGGAAACATGCAAACAAAGTTCGTCTGTATTATATGTTGCATCCAGTAGACGGGGGATGTCCGGCTAAGAAGCTCAGAACAGATGACGTGAGTATATCTCATTCTATTCTTTTTATTTTTTTTCACAAATGACACATCTATATTGAGTTCATAAATGACTTGCTCTGTATCATTCTGTAATGTGGTGTTTTGGGTTGTGTTTCTTTTTCATGTTTTCATGTCTTTTATTTTGGAGTTTTGCCATTAGTTCCTCTGTTCATTGTGTCATGTTCTGATTGGTTGTCTAGGTCATGTGTCTTGTTTCCCATTGGTTTGTTCTTGTCTTGTGTCCCTCTTGTTTG